TTTATGTTAGCATGAGTGATATTTTAATTTGCATCAATTGATTTCCTATATAATGATTCTTTTGTTTTATTTACTTGATGCATGCAGTTGTGATTTGAATGTGTTAAATATTCAGTTTATTAAATATATTGAAGTTGTTCAACAGGAAGTTGTGGAGGTGTTAAACTGCTGAGCATGTTTGAGTATCTTAGACTTAGACTTAGTTCCTCCTACGCCGAACGGCGCATCGGGCAGCTAGTGATCTCCATCGATATCGGTCAGCAGCGACTGCTTCAGCTTCGTCCCAGGCAATGTCGACAGTTCTCAGATCGTCCATAAATGTTCGACGCCATGTGGTCTTTGGTCGGCCTTGCTTTCGCTTGCCAGTGCGTGGACGCCATGTCATGGCAATCTTAGCTGGGCGATGAGGGGGTACGCCTACCCCCTCATACTACGCCTACCATGTTTGAGTATAACAGTTTAAAATGTAAACACACAGCTGGAGTGATGTAGACATAATTCTATTGCCATTTTTATCTTTTCTTTTTCACAATATTAAACAATGTGATATGGGAAACACGTTATTTAAAATATCCTTAACGAGTGTTTGAGCTCTCGGATTGAATTGTATTTTCCATTTCCATGAACGTTTCCTTTTACAGTACAGATCCTGGTTTTTGTGTAAAGCTGACAGTAAAACTTTCAACCAAAAGACAAAAAGAAATGCATTAGTCAAACTAAACACTCTTTCTCTGCAGACTGATGGGTGAGGGTGACAAACACCTTTTTTTTCTTTTCTTGTAAGAAGGAACTGGTTTCACACTTTGTACAGCTTTGAAACTAAAACTGACGTTCTTCCTCATTGTCTCTTGCCTTCTTGTATGCTTGTATTCATATCCATATGCAACCAGTGTTTGAGTTGTCTGATTGAATTGTATTCTGGCTTTGAAGAGTTAACCTTAATTTATTATTGTTGCTTCACTGTAGTGGTTGAACTTGTCACTTACTGCAGACATGGTTATTCCTGTTTCTTTAATGTCACTGCTGAGTGTGGCTCAACAGTCAGAACTTGTGGAAGGCTTTAATCTTTTTTAGCCACACCCAGAAAGGATAAATGGAATTCAACAAAATGAAATGAAACACTGTCATACATAGTGGAGCCAGTTGAGGTGGTTTGGGCATCTGACAAGGATGCCATCTGGGCGCCTCCTGGGTGATGTGTTCTGGGCATGTCCCACCGGGAGGAGGCCCCGGGGCAGAGCCAGGACACACTGGACAGATTATATCTCTTGGGTTGCCTGAGAACACCTTAGTGTTTCCCCGGACAAGCTGGAGGAGGTGGCTGGGGAGAGGGAGGTCTGGGCTTGTCTGCTTAGGCTGCTGTCCCCCAGGGACCTGGCCTCGGATAAGCAGAACAAGATGGACGGATGGACTATCATATATTCTTTAATGAAAAATAAGTACTGTACTTGTTCCTGTGTCACCTTCAAGATGAAACTAGATAATTTTGGGGGACTTCTTGAAGTTGCTTAGCAGTTTAGGACATGTCCACCAGAGGACACCATTAGCTCTTCATCTCAGCAACATTTTCAATTGTTCTCTGCTACTTCTTGTCAAGTTCACAGTACAAGATAAGTGAGGTGCAAATATCTGCAGTTATTTCATTATCTTATGTTGCAAGTTTTTAGTAGCTTTTTTCTTCTTTTTTTTTTTACATTTTAAATGAGTATGTAAAAAATATTGGATCAGTAGTTATAGTGTAAATAATCAAGCTTAAAAGGAACCAATTTTACTTGTATTTATTTTCTATCATTTGTATATTGTTACAGTGGTGGATGCCCAAGATTTAAATAATAGATTCAACATGTATACAAATAATCCCTATAAGTCAAAAGCTCAGGTTTCGGCCTTTTTGCCTTGATTTTGGATAGTTTTTCTTGTCTCTAATCAGATTATCAGCTCCACTTCTTGAACAAATGCTAATAATTTGAATTTTTACAGGTAATATTTAACAAATCATGCTGTATTTTCAAGAAGTCAGTTCCTTCAGTGTATTTTACAGTAAAATAGAAATAACAACTTTAATACTTCATGTATATTGCATATGTATATGGTTCTATGCAGTGTTTCCATTGCTGTTCCTAGGACTGCACTCTTCTGTACAGAAACCTCTGATGCTGTGCCTGGAATCTGCTGAAGCCACTCTTCCCAGTTTGGGGTGGCAGCTCCTCATGCTCCTATTACCATTGAGACCACTTTGGACTTTACCTTCGTAATCTCCTCCAGTTGGTCCTTCAGGCCCTGGTACTCCACGATTTCACTGTGTTTCTGCTTTCTTACTGTTAGCTGTGATTGACACAATTATCACAACTGTGGTCTTCTGGTCCTTGTAAAACAGATCTTGGCTAACAGTGCTTCATTCCCATGGCAATTGTAGATGTTTTTAAATGTTTTACTGTTACTATGTAACGGTTATCGTATATAGTAGTAAAGTAATTAATGTTTAAACAATGCCAGGACTGAAATACTATCTTCTGTCATGACTTAAGTTGCTAGTTGATCAAGTTACCAGTAAAATGATTCATCGCAGCCACAGATTCACAGTAAATACCCCAACAAGCTTTAATGCATCTATAATAAATTATTTGCTGATTTCTGTGCATCACTTAAACTGTATGACACTAGTACTGACCCATGCTCAGTGTAAAATTAAATCCTACCTGTCTGAGCAAAGTCTGGCTCCTTTAATCCTGGATGAGAAACTGTGTGTCTGTGCTGAACCATTAATAAAATCAGGTTTGAGTGAGGCCGCTTTCAGTGGACTCTTTCTCTGTTGAAAAAACAGGTTGGTCTTAATTTCAGATGGTAATAATTTGAGTTTTTACAGGTAGTATTTAACAAATCAACTAGTGTGTACAGCATCTTTTACAAAAAAACCCCATAAATAACAACTTATGAATACAATTACATAATTTTAAGACATAATACCAAGCTCATAATACAGTCCATTACACAGTATGAGGTGTATTATAGAGTTGATTAACAATATATTACTTTGTAATTATGCACTATTCTTGCTTTAATAGTACGTCTGAAACTGACTATTATATTAGCTGTTATAAATGAGGTTTTGATTTGAACTTTGCAACAACGGAAATTCTGATTCGGTAATTCAACATATTTTCCTTTTTTCTTCATTTTTAAAATGAGGCAGAACAAGCATTCACAAACATGTTGATGCCATCAACTCCACTATGCAATTCTATCTGCTTGCTGTTGGGACAAAGAAGAGCACCATCCACATTTTTTTTTATTGACCTGGACAAGCAGGTCATGAAGCAACATATGAGACTAGGGAAGAATGTCTCTGACTCACAGACAATCAGCACTGGCTCCCCTCAGGGTGGTGTTCTTTTTCCTCTGCTCTTCTCCCTATACACCAACTGCTGTACCTCCAACCACCACTCTGTCAAGATAATTAAGTTTGCAGATGACCGTTATCGGACTCATCTCGGACGGGGTGAGTCTGCTTACAGGATGGAGGCTGAATGCCTGGTGTCATGGTGCAGGCGTAACAACCTGGTGTACTTCCTGAGTCAGCTGAAGAAATTCAACCTGCCAACATGGACGATGACGCAATTCTACACTGCAATCATCGAGTCCATCCTCACCTCCTCCATTGTGGTGTGGTATGCTGGAGCCACCACCAGGGAAAAACAGAGACTGCAGCATGTTGTGCACTCTGCTGACAAGGTGATTTGCTGCAGACTCCCATCTCTGCAGGACCTGTACACCTCCAGGACACTGGGGCGCACAACTGACCAGACAAGGTCTGTTTGACCTGCTTCCCTCAGGCTGCAAGCTTCGGTCCATTTGGACCAAAACCTCTCGCCATAAGAACAGTTTCTTCCCCTCTGCTGTTGGCCTCATGAACAATAACCATAAGACTGTTCCCACCACTTGCTCTAATTCAAACACATGACCCCTGTATTGTGTTCTCTACACCTGTTGCAACTTTGCACTGATCATCACCTGTGTTCATCTATATATCAATCTGCTTAGCACTTTTTATTTTTATTTAAGTGTTTGTCTTAATGTATGTCTCACACAAAGTACCGCAGCAATTTCCTAATTTTGTAAATCTGCTCAATGTACTCTCTAGAAGTTTTCCATGATGTTTATCTGTAGTGAGCTCAGGTTTAGAGACAAACCACATACCAGTACTTGTTTGAAATAGAATACATATGAACCCACACAGCTTAATTTGAACAGTACCATTTATTATGTTCTATGTTAAGAAAACGTCACTCAAACACAAGTAGTTGTTTTCTGCCATCTTTCAGTTGTGACATATGTTTCAATAACATGTATTTTATAACTAAAAAGTTCAAGATTAATTTATTCTGTAATTTGTGTTGCAGAGTATGAAAACCACTGGCAGATCCACCAAATGTGGTGTCCCTGCTGTGATACTGAAGTTAGTTCAGCCACTAAACCTATCAGAGAAAAAGGCCCTTTAAATCACTATGGTAACAAAGTTACTTTAGTAAGCAGGAAGTGCATCAATATTGGAGCAGAGATCAGTTGTGTGGGTCATAGGTAGGTGCAATCTGCTATAACGGGCTGAGATGTTTTCATATATGGGACCAGGGTTCACCTGAGGAGGAAGACAAACAACATACTGGGTTATAGGTCATTTTTCTCCTCTCCTACAAATTCCAAAGCACATACAAACTCCAAAACACATTTCTAGCGTTAACTTAACTTCCAAAACAGAGCTACCTAGATCACTTATATTACACAATTGAAGGCATATGTGTATTGTTTGTGTATTTATACGCAAACGCTCATATATATTCAAATAATTTAAATAAATGTTCATTTACCTGTTACTACCACACACCAAATCTGGTCGTTGGTACTTCATGGCTTGTGTAGCCACCTAGCATCCTGGAGCACTTCTGTTGTGTTTTGTAGTTTTTACGTGCTTCAGGGTTTGTACGTGCTTCGGAGTTTGTACGTGCTTTGGAGTTTGTACGTGCTATGGAGTTTTTACGTGTTTTGGAGTTTGTATGTGTTTTGGAGTTTGTACGTGCTTCGGGGTTTGTACATGCTTTGTCTCTACCGTAAATATACTTTTATTTATTCACTCCACATAAAATGTAATAAATAAATCATATAATACAAAAAGCAACTATTTTCAAATTTTAACTATTTAAATCTTCAGCTTTTTCCTTTTACAAATTTAAAGTGAAACAACACAAAACACTGCAAACCACAACACAATTAAATATAAATTTAAATATGAAAACAAAAAGAAGATGCACATTCTCTGTCATATGGGCCTGCATGGATAAACTTTCTGAATCCTTTATCATCCGCAACTGAAAATAGTTGTGGATGATTACTATACCTTTCTAATGTGACGTTGTTGTCCCTGGCTCTCTTTCTCTCTATTCCTCCCGCTCTGTTCCTGTGCTACTGCGAGTGTAACTACCGCCCCTCCCCCTTCTTTCCAGCGCAAAGCACAAGGCTCGTGTGCGGAGGGAAGCGGAAAAAATGCGAGAGAGAGGGTGAGAGAAAGAAAAAAAAACAACAACCCACGGCTCCCAATAAGGAGCCGGATCGCGTCGTTCACTACAAAGAGTCGGCTCTAAGAGCCGTTTCGTTCGTGATCGACACATCACTAGTCTGAATGGACCATGTTCACCACCTCCATTGCCAAAGTCGCAAGTTGGTTGGTGCCTGTCGTGGTGGTAACAACTGACAGGCAAAGCGGAACGTGGCAATGGCTAAAGCAAAAACTCGAGTGTGGGAGTAGTTCGTAGAGGCCACGGAAAAAGACTTTCAGTCTGCCTAGAAGAGATTCTGGCAAACTGTCATGGGACTCAGAAGGGGAAAGCGGTGCTCTACCTCCCACGTAGCAAAATTGGTATGGCCCGGATCTGGCCCACACAATGTGCTTAAACACGGCCCACATACCTCAAAGAATGATGGCCCTTTGGTGGCCCAGATCAGATTTGCCAGAGGTGGCCCACTCATGGGCCAGAACAAGGCCAGTTGCAGGCACACTGGTGGTCCTGTGCTGGCCCATGTGTGGATTACTTCTGGCAAACCTGATCTGGGCCATATGTAAGTCGTGTGCAGCCAAAGTTGCAGACACACTGCTGGCCCTGTGCTGGCCCAGAACAGTTTCAGCTCTGGCCCCAGATGTCAGCCTAATGTGTACCTTAATCAAGCCATGTAATAACAACATGTCCCGGAACATAATAGTGCAAAAGTAACATGACAAAACTCTGTTCAGACAGTGAATGGACTGATAGCCCTTTTTTCTACTCTCCCGGATTACATGCCGTATTCATCCAATCACACACTTTCTCTAAACTGAGTGCAAACTGGAGGAGCCAGGGATCAAACCACTAACCTTCTGATCAGCAGGTGACCTGCTCTACCGCCTGAGCTACAGCCACCCAGTGGTGAATGTGAGTAAACCCTCACTAGGTTTTGGATAAAGTGTACACTCACAAACTTGTCAAACCTGCATTTGAAACGTTGGCTACCATAGCAGTATAGTATTGCAAGATGGCATTTGGGTCTTCTAACTAAAATAGGAAAATAGGAACATAAATAGTGCCATCATTGTCAGACCTGGCCCGCATCTGGTTGACATACATCCTGCCATGACACCAGTCAGTCAGAAGTACCAGCTTGATGCAGAATCCGGGCCAGACCTGTTTTCTATGAACCTGGGCCACAAAAACAAAACCACGATCGGGCCAGATATGGCATGCCATCACATAAACAGTGCATTCATTGCCAGACCTGACCCATATCTGGATGACATACCACTTAGCATGCCAGAAGTCAGCCAGCAGTGCCAGCTTGACACCAGATCCGGGCCAGACCTGTCTGCTATTTGGGCTGTACTGTGTATAGTGCAGATGGAGCACTGCTGACTATGACTGAGAAAATTGTCGGGTGGTGGAAGGAATACTTAGAGGACCTCCTTAATGGAGGAATCTGGGGATAAGGGGAACAATTCGCCTATCTCCGGGGGTCAGGTCACTGAGGCAATTAAACAACTCCTTGGTGCCAGAGCCCCTGGGGTGGATGAGGATTGCACTGAGTTCCTGAAGGCCATGGATGTTCTAGGGCTATCTTGGTTGACATGCCTCTACAATGTCGCGTGGAGATCAGGGGAGATACCTCTAGGTTGGCAGACCGCAGATCGGGATGGTGGTTCCCATCTTTAAGAAGGGGACTGTAGTGTGTTCCAACTATAGGGGGATCACACTCCTCAGCCTCCCTTGGAAAGTCTATGCCAAGGTGCTGAAAAGGAGAGTCTGGCAGATCCTGGCAGAGGGACACTGGACCAGCTCTTTATCCTCTCAAGGATACTTGAGGGTGCGTGGAAGTTTGCCCAACCAGTGTATATGTGCTTCGTGGACTTGGAGAAGGCATTCGACCGTGTCCCTCGGAGTGTTCTATGGGAGGTGCTTCCAGAGTATGGGGTGTCTGGCCCATTGCTACGTGCCATTTGATTCTTATAAAACCATTGCAAGAGCTTGGTCTGCATCGTCGGCAATAAGTCGGACTTGCCCTTCGTCACCAATTCTGTTTGTAATTTTTATGGACAGAATTTTTAGGCGTAGCCAAGTGGGGGAAGGCTTTTACTTGGGTGGTCTAAGAATCTCATCTCTGCTTTTTGCAAATGATGTGGTTCTGTTGGCTTCATCGGGTGATGGCCTCCAGCTCGCACCAGAATAATGCAGAGCCAAGTGTGAAGTGGTGGGAATGAAAATCAATACCTCCAAACCTGAGGTTATGGTCCTCAGCCAGAAAAGGGTGGAGTGCCCACTGACTGTAAAAGTGAAGCTCTCAATTTACCGGTCGATCTACGCCCCTACCTTCACCTATGGTCAGAAGCTGTGGGTAGTGACCGAAAGAATAAGATCGCGGGTACAAGCAGCAGAAATGAGTTTCCTCTGAAGGGTGGCTGGCCTCTCTCTTAGAGATAGAATGACAAGTTCAGGCATTTGAGAGGGGTTCAGAGCAGATCTGCTGCTCCTCCACATCGAAAGGAACCAGTAGAGGTGGTTCAGGCATCTGATAAGGATGCCTCCTGGGCCTCTCCTGGGTGAGGTGTAAGATCCCGGATAAGTGGAAGAAGATGGATGGATGGATAAATGGAGACTAATTGATATGAGAGCATGAGGGTGGGAATGGATGTTTGTATCTGTGTGTGCCTGTATGTCTGTGTCTATATGTCAGGTTGGGTTCAGACGCCACCTCTCTGGGGACATCTCAGGCCCTCCAAGGTTTGGAGGCCTATCTCCCCCTACCACCACTTCCCCTGCCAGTGGCGGACCCCTCAGACATCGGTGCGTTGGTGGTTCTTTGTGTCCGGGGATGGGCGCTCCAGGTACACACCGGCTCACTCCTTGGCGGCTTGTCGGGGCCTGGAGCCTGGGGCTCGCTCGGGCCACTTCGGAGGTGGGGTGCCCCCGGCCTCTCGGCCTGGGGCTCGGTCACTCGGCACAGCTCTGCGGCGGAGCTCACGGGCACGTCACTGCAACCCCCCCTGGCTTCTGCTCCGCGGCTGCTGAGTGACCCCTCATCTGGGACTCTCCTCAGCTCTTTCTGGGATAGTGACGCGGCTGCCCCTCTGTTGGTCTTCCTTGGTCTCCCACACCCTCTAGCAGATCATTACATGAAGGAACCTTTTAAAAACAAGCGCGTTCATGCTCACAGGTGTACACACGGGTAATCACACACACAAACTACACCCTTTTTGGCTCCTACCTCAAAGCACACTGTGCGCTATCGATATTACGTGCTGCACAATAATGTTTAATATTTAGTATTTACTGTTATATTCCCATATCTCATCGTGATGTTGTTTATTGTATTGCTCTCGTTTTCTTCGGCTTGTTTTCTTTTTTCTTTCTCAACAGGTGATCCAGGTGATTGATACATGTATTTTTTTGTCTGCTTATTTAGTTGGTTTTTGTTTTTTTGCCCTTTATCCCCGTCCCTCTTCTCCGCAGTTTTTTTTCTCCCCCTCTTCCTTTCTCCCTTTTCTTTTCCTCATTCAAGTCTGTCCCGTATCTAGCAAGTGAAAATAAAAAATAAATAAAATAAACAATAAAAGGTGAATCAAATAGACCATTACGGCAAGGCTGAGATGGTCAATTTGGTAAAGTAAATCCGTTGGGTATCTTTCCTCACCTTTAGACAATAATTCTGATGGCAAAAGAACCAAACGGGAAAGGGAAAAAAAAAAGGAGACTAATTGATGATACATGAAGAAAATACCACAGAGGAGGGGATGTTTATATCTGAATTCTGTCCTCTACCTGCTCTTTATTGTCTGATGTTTTACTTCTTGGAAAGTGACCGGAAGTCGTTGTCATTCTAATTAAAAAAAAAGAAGAAAGAAATAATTTCCAAATCAACAAGAGATTTCAAATCATAGTTTGAATATGATGATTATAGCAAAAATAAAATGTGTATTTACTTAGTAGGCGATAACTCAATGATTGAGTAGGGGTCAATTTTGTTTTTCAAACTGCAACGCAGCCCGACATAGTAATGAGTATCCTGCTCTTCCGATTTAGCTGGAACATTTTTACCAATGAAATCAGGATAAATCTGTGGAGACAAGTAACAAATAGCTTCACATTTTATACATTTACATAAAGAGGTTATAATTCAGATGAAAGAGAACAGTGCAGTGGCTAAAATAACATGAGTTTGGGATACGGAGGAATGGATTAATGTGAAGAAAAACAAGGTGTTCAAGGGGCATTTAAAAAAAAAATTCAGCTGTTATTGCAGCAGAATGTTTTTTGTTTCTCATTTTGTACCTGCTGTTTGTTGCCTAGTGTTGCACTTCTTGAAGGCTGGTTTGAAATCCTCTTTTTTCTGATTTGTAAAAAAAGAGCAAATATATATACAGTGGGGCAAAAAAGTATTTAGTCAGCCACCGATTGTGCAAGTTCCCCCACCTAAAATGATGACAGAGGTCAGTAATTTGCACCAGAGGTA